ATAAGGTGATGGCTTAGGCAATGAAAAAATTATTTGTTTGATTTTATAAATAATAGTATAGAAACAAGCAATCTTTTAAATGTAGTTTATATTCATTTAACTTTTCTAGAAGAATTCGAGATCCTATAATAATATGTAAAATAATAATTATATCAATATCAATAATAATATTACATCATATACAACTCCTTCTAAAGTTCGCAAAAGGTTTTATTCGATTTTATAAAATGTGCCAAAAAATCTTGATGACTTTTAAAACATTTTGATTTTTTGAAGCTTAAGACGGCTTATTTCGAATATAACTAAACGACAAATATATTCTTAGCTTAGATTTTTTACAAAGTTCGAATAATGCAATGAATATTAAAAAAATGTTGAGCTTACTGTTTAGGATTTTTTTGAAAAATGTCAAGACTATTTGGTGGGATTATCTTAAGTGAACAGTTATTGCTACTATATCTATGATAACTAAAGGGGCATTAAGTGGTTTTTAATACAATAGAATAAGTAATAAAAGAACCTTTCTATTTATTGACAGACAATCAACTTTATTTTTTTGAGTTTGATCAGGATGACCATTCCCATTTGTAAACTAATTAATAATAAGTCAATTATATTTCACTTGCTAGAGAAGAACATTTTGATCTAATACTTGGTTAGAATGGATTATTTCTTGCTGTAAAATTTTAACACAATATTACTTAAATAATGGTTGGAATGATATGGTGAAAGTGATTCCTGATTTTTATAAAATATGAGAAATACTTAATTATATTATGAGGTAAATATATCTTACACTATAATTGGGATGTGGTCAAAAAAATAAAATATTTTTTGAAGAGAGGATTTATTTTTCTTTATAGAATTACAACGATTTAAAATAATAATGAATTAAATGATTATTGGTCACAGAGTTTATTTTCAAATTATTTTATAATTTTTTAAGATTGATTTGATCTAATATAGAATGAAATAAATAAATGAGATCAATAATAACTTTAAAAAATTTAGAACGGAATAAAAACAAAAATTATTACAAATGTTATGATCATATCTATATTATCCAAAAAAATAAATAATTATTATCACGATTCTACCAAATCTTTCAACGTATAATGTTTAACAATTTAATTGGATTATGGATCCTGTTATTATCTTTTATTGGAGTATGACAATATAAGAGCACTTTTAATACGAATATTTTCCTTGGTTTTGTTTGGTTAATTATTGACTATATTGTTTACATTATTAATAACAGTATTTTAACCCCCATTAGTATTAGGATATTTGATATAAGGTTCTTATTGTATGGGCGTATCTTAATGCATAGATGGTTGACTAGAGTTAGGATTCAAATCCAAAATGGTGAATTTTTTGACTTCTTTAACTGATTAATTTTACTAGACTGGAATTAATTTAGCTCTACAAGAGATATTGGCAAAAGAGGATCCTCTTGCTTAAGCTGACAATGGTCTAATTTATACATTTTATTTGTAAGTATTTTATGGTTTAGTATGTTTAATTTCAAGTTTAAATTTAGGTTATTATTCGAGAGAGAATGAATTCTTTCTTTCTTCTTAAAATTATTTATCATCTATATCTTGAATGTATAATTCAACTTAATTAGATTAAATCTTAATGACTTATTATTATTAGTATTATTATTAATTATATTTAGATTCTTATTATTCTATTTATTTTAATCTTTCTTATTCTTATAATTCTTTTTATTATCTTTCTCTTTCTAATTTTTACATTTTTTCTTTTTCAAGTCTCTCTTACTTTTCTAATCTATCTAATCTTTCTTTCTCTAGTCTTTCTTATCTTTCTCTATCCATTCTCTCTTACCTTTCTCTATCGATTCTTTCTCTTTCAAGTCTCTCTTTCTCTAATTTCTCTTATTGATCTTTCAACAATTATTAATATTATTAAGCCCTAGAAATTTATTCATTCTCTATTTATTTTTAAGTCATCTCTATTACATCTCCCATATAAATTGTATCAGATCCGTTACTTATTAAATCTTATTGTTATGGTTTTCTAGTTTTCTTCATCTTCTCTGTTTCCTAAGCCTACATTGCATATGTCTTCGGATTAGAAGTTTATGGCCTTTATAATTAGTGCTATTGATATTACATCTATGGTAATCCTTCATCAAGTTGTCTATGTTATTAATATAATCTACTATGAAATTCTCTATCCCTAACTTCTTTATTAGAAATATATTGTATTCACTTCTTATATACTTGGCCTCAATGCTGGAATCTTTTCAAGCAACTTCCATATAAACTGACTTAATCCTTTAATAATTTACTTATACAAATTGTACTTGTTGAATATTAAGGTGGTAATCCTTTAGGTGCCCTATTAACTATACTATATCCCAAAGCTATCAAATTCTCACCCTAAAATGGAGGCTCTAATGCTGCCATGTAAAATACTACACATCCCAAAGCCCATATATCTACCTTATAATCATAAGGTTAATGCTAAACAAGTTCAGGGGATAAATATAGAGGTGTCCCCACTCTAGTACCTTATAATGCTGTATCAGAATTGAATATTTTTGATACTCCCAAATCCCCTAATTTTACATGCTTATCCTTTGTCAGAAATACATTGAGTGTTTTTATATCCCTATGAATTATATTGTTTTCATGAAGATGCTACAAAGCAGAACTAAGTTCCCTACTCATCTCCCAAATTGTTTCCTCTTACATAAATTTTCTTCTTTCTTTGTAATCTTTTAGTAACTAAATAACTTAATGATTACTACTTTCTAAAGATCTCCTCCTTCAGCATACTCCATTATTATGCAGAGATTGTCTAGCTCAATAAAACTCATATAATATGTGATAATATTTGGATGTTTCAGTTTCCTTAAAAGTTATGCCTCTTTGAGTGCCTCAGCTTTTAATATGAAACACGCATACCTTGATGCTTTGGCTTCAAATGAGTTAGATTGATCTTTTTAAGTACATAAATATTTCCATCCTGAGTTGATTTCACTTTATAAACTACTCCATAAGAACCCTTCCCCAATTCATTCAAAATTGTAAAATGAGATAGATTACTACCAATTAGTTAATATTAACGACCTAGATTCTAACCATTAAATTACTATCTAAATCATGTAGCTATTGAATTTCCTTTTAATCTATAGTTTTTGGAACTTTCGCTGTTGTTGGCCTTTATTTCATAATATATTTATTTATATAATATAATTCAAACCTTCATTCTTTTCTTTCTTATCTATTTCAATACTCTTAGTTCCCTTTCCAACTTTTAACCTATAGGAACTACATGATTTTATAACTATCTTTATTATTCATTTCTCTATGGTATAGATTTTTTACATCTAAATTTTTTCAATCAAATTGATCAGTTTATCTTCTATATCAAGATAAATAATTATCGTTTTTACAATAATTGAATATACTAATAAATAATATTAGATCCAACACTAGTCATATTAAATTAAAGGCAGTCATTTATTTGGATATGTAAGAATCATAAATAAATCATATTATATATCTAACTAAGATTTTTATATAAATTGGTTTATTTTTGTAGCTTCTCATTCCTAAATTTTAAGATTTCTATTTTTTCTAAAAAAAGAGGTATTTCATAATGTATTAAACTTCTGAATAGTAAGAATAACTGATCATATTTTTATAAATAAAATATAATATTAAATATTTATAAAAGTTACAATAATTAAGATATTAATAATAAAATAATAATGAAATCTAATGTTTTAAAAGAGACAATAAATAATACAAAACTTGTAGAGTAAGATTTTAAATTAATTTTAATAAATTTTATCATTTTCTTTTTGAGCCACATCTCCCACAAAAATTATGATCTTGATCCATTTCATAGCTGCATTATTTACAGTGATATGTAAAAATTTTTTTTTATTTAAGTTATTTTTCAATGAGCATTTTTTTGTACATTAATTCTTTTTAATTTTTTTGACAAAGTTCTAAATGACTTTCTAGATTTCGAGGATTAAATTTTCTTCCACAAATATGACATTCTGCAGTTGTTATATAGCTTTTATCTAATGAAGTGTTTTCTCTGTTAGTTTTATTTGGTCCTAAAGATTTGGGTTTAATCGTAGATTTAGGTCTTTTTTTTTTTATTTCTTCTTTTCCTTTTGCAACAAAGATCATTGGTTTGTCTTTACTGCATAATTTTAAATGCATTTTTAATTTACCTTCAAAGAACTAACGATTACAAAATTCACATTTTTCGTATAAAATATTTTATACTTCCATGTTTCTGTATATTATATATATATTAAATTTTAAATTTAATGAAATAATATGATCATGATAGATATTAATATATATACAATAAGTGAGATTACTCCTAATACTTTTAATCGTTACAATCCATCAATTAACAAAAAATAATTGGAAATTAATTTTATGAATTAAACATGAGATTGATTAAAATAAGCTGACATGATAAAATCAATATAAGATAAGAAATAAAATATATTTTATTAGGCAACAATAGTTCCTAGATCATCTTTAAAATAGAATGAAAATAAAACATAATCTTTAATTCTAGATCATAAGAGAACCAATGTTATATATAATACATCAAATGTTTTATGTAATGATAGCTATAAAAAATAATATAGGTATGTGAATGTAGAATTAAAATTGTTAAGGATTCAAATAATTAAATAAAACATAAAAATTAATTTTTTTCTTATTATTTCCAGATAATGTGAACGGTGATACTTAATGAAATTAATAAATTAGATCAAGCCATCTTAGTTAGTTTAGATTGTAAATATAGTATTTTGAAATGTAAAGATTGTATAATTAATGAATATACTGCAAATAATAAACCAAGATCTCAACTCAAAATTATAGAAATTTCTTATTCAGTGATAAAGGTATAGATTCCTTCTATTTTAAGTGTTTTTAAAAAGATAAAGAATTGAAATAATTATTCTTAATTGCATTGAAAGTAAGTACCTCAAAATTAAATTAATTATGAACGATTGATTAAATGGAAAAATTATCATAAATGAATTGTTGATAAAACTAATTAATTTATTATATATAATATGATTACTACAAATAGAGATTTGATTTCATCAACAACAGATTCAGCTGAATACTCTCAAAATATTTAGCTTTCAAAAAGAAAAATTGGCAATAAACATTTCTCTTAAAGTCTATTTGCCTTAAGAAAATAAGACTTAATTAATAAAAGAAGCTCATCTTATTATTCACCTAATATAAGCATTTCTAAAATTAAACCAATTATTGATTATCGTTCAATATTTTAACAAAATACTAAAAAATTGATAATAATTCTTAGCTTTTTTGATTCACTCTCATAATATTCAAAGGAACAACTAAGATAGCGAATTGAATATTTCAAATCCAAAAAAAAAAACATCTTACCATTTTATCCAGATCAATACTTAATAATTAAATGGAATTAATTCATTTAATTCTTATTATTTTTTTATGCCATTATATTTCCATCACATATGGCTAATCAAATTGATGTATAATAAATTTTATTAATAATTGATGCAATTTTTGCATTTGATATATTGATGAATATCATAACAGCATATATAGATGAAAATTATAATTTGGTTACCGAATTTAAATTGATATTCCTCCATTATATCAAAACTTGGATGGTTTTTGATATTATTTCATTACCATAATATTAATTCTTAATTCAACAATCAGAACTATAATTATTTAAACTTTTAAGATTAATTAAATACTTTATTAAGAAACCCTAAAGAAATTATAAAGGATAAATATTTGATACAAATATCATAAATGATTCTTTTTCTCAAAATAATAATTATTAACTCTCAGAAGGATGGATATTTTTATTAAATGTAATTTTGAATGCATTATTACTAATTCATATATTTGGATGCATTTTTTTATTTCATGATAATGGTTTTAATTATATAACAAGTGTTTATTGGTCATCATAAACCTTATTTACAGTTGGTTATGGTGACATACCTTAAAATTATTAAATATCTGTTATTTGGATTATTATTTCTATTGGATATTATTCTGTAAAAATAGGTGATTTTGCTAAATTATTAATGCAATCTAATCTATCTAATGATGATAATCAATATTATTTATTTGATCGTTTAGCATTGTAGACTAAAATGCCAGATGAACTTAGAGAACTAATCTAAAAATATATTAGAACAAATGCTTTACACAATTTATTCTGGGAATAAGAAATCATTTATATGGTCAATGAATTCCATAAACCTATCTAAACTTATTTCACTTTAAGTGTAATGTTAGACTTATGCATTAAAATTTAATTCTTTTTATAAGATGTTAATCATACTTAAAATCTTTTAAAATCATGCAGGTTTATAATTTATGAGAAAAATGAAATTATTTATAGAAAAGGATAAATCTCTGATGAAATCTATTACTTAATCAAAGGAGATGTGAGGATACTATCTAAAAATAGATTTAATATTTTAACTATATTATAAGGTACCATATTTGGAGAATTTGAAGCATTAAATGAGTAACCTAGATTCACTTATGCTATTGCAAAATAAAGATCTTATGTTTTAATTGTTTAATTTAAATTCTTTATTTAATGTTTTAAACAAAGTAAACTCATTAATTTCGAAGTTTCCTAATTGTATGCAAGAAGAAAATAATTAATACTTTAATAGTTTAAACTTGAAAAAAGTATAAAAATAATTAATTTAGATAAAAAGTTGAATTGCAAAGATTGAAACGAAAAAATGTAATCATTTTTTAAGATAATGACATTTCACCAGAATTTAGTAAAAATAAAATTGATGAAAATTAATTATAAACTAATTAATCTTTTAATTATAACTTTTTGTAAAAAATAATTGGGTAAGCTAAATTAAATAAAAAAATTATTTATTAGAGATTTTAATTTTGTGTCAATAGAGTGATCGATTATTTAAGGTAAATAGATATAACTCCACCTGAAGATTGGAAAGAATTAAATCAATACCATATAATCACCAAAGTCATACCATTAAAATTATTATAATAAAGAAATAAACTCTTTAGACAATAAAATAGATAATCAAACTTTTCAATTTTACCATTTAATAAGAAACTACAACTATCTAATTATATCTTAGTCAGATAATAAGAAATAAACATTCAAAGGAAAATCATACTCTTTAGTAAGATATAAAGAGAAAGGTTCTTGCCTTTGAAATAAATAATTTAGAACAGATTTGCCAATTAATAATCTGAGGCAAACATTCACAATATTAATAATTCCTCTATTTCAAAGATTGTTTTGTTGTAATCCAAATATAGATAAAGTAAAAATGTTAAATATAATGGGGAAATTAAAGTTAAGGCAAATATTCTATAAACATTATCAAAACTTAAATAAGATTTATAATAAATAAATGATATTTGGTTATAAGGATCTTTGATTAAATTCGATTTACATAAATTTTTGAATTAAAACTGAAAATTTATTACTTATTAGATAATTATTCCAATTTTAAAATCTTTCTATTTTTATTAGAACTCTATAATAAAATATCTATTATAATAATTCTAAATTTTATTTATTAAGCAATCGATATGTATTATTATTTATTAATTGATTAAATAAATATGACATATTATTTATTAATTTATTAATCATAAGGATATATATATAATTTGTGTTACCTTTAAATTTTACAGAGAAACTATCTATATATATATTACAATATAATTTATTTATCTGTAATAATATTTTTAATAAACAAATTATGTAAAAATACGTTGTTAAAAAAGTTGCTTTGAATTTTAAAAACCTTGTAATAGGAGGAGATTTGAAAACCATCAAACCACTAAAAAAGAATGAAGAACAATTTTTCATATACTATGATTAAATGTTCATGAAGAGTACATACATTTAAGATTGCCTGAAAAACGAATTATTAAGAATTCCAGTTGACTTTTTTAAAGAAAGTAGATATGATGATTTTGCAGAAGATCATTCTGATTTCTTAGAATAAGAAAATTAGAAATAAAAATGATTCCCTTTATATGTATATGTTAATTTTTCTTTATTTATATGGTAACATCATTAGCTTATTTTATTTGAATTCTTCTTATCTAAAATTTTGTTTAGAGCTTTTTATTAATGTTTCGATTTGATTCCAACTTTTCTTCTTCCAATTATTCTTAATAATTCATAGTTCTGATTATAATGTTATCTTAGATTACAAGCCTTAAAATATAATTTGAAATGAATTTCTTACAAAATTATTAAATTCAGCTTAATTTTCTTTTCTAACTTTAATAAAAGCTACAATGATTTCTTCTTTTTGAATAAACTTTAGTTCTTAATAATGGTAATCTAATGGGATAAGATTCAAGCATCTTACTTTTAAATAAAGTAGATGTAATTTCCTGTATTTTGCAAAATTAAGAAGTCTTTAAATATTTGATTTGATTGGATAGAAATTATAATAAAAATGCATCAATTAGCCTTTTTTATTCAAATCAAGACAGTTTAAAATGATTCAATCTAAAACTTAAAAACATTTATATTTTTGAGTCAATTTTTATTAAGATGTTTTAATCGATCTTTATTTTATTTCAGTTTTAATTTCAGAAGTATAAATTTTCAATTGTTCATAAATTTTCGAATCTATATCATTATTATTCAAAAATAAATGAGACAGGTTTATTATTTTAAATAAATGTTGTTTTATCTCTAAATAAGGATAGTTATTTATATTTATAAGTCTTTATTGCTTTAGACTTATTAATAATTACTAAATACTTAGATCATTTTTAATAAAAATTTAATTCTTTTTTATTAAAATAATACAAAAATAGAAATATTAAAATCACATATAAGATAAAGTAGCGGATGCTACAAGCATTTTGTTTTTTTCGACTCGCTATAAAAATTGATGATTTTCATTGAAATATGATTTCAATATGGAAATGGCTTTGGTAAATGACAAATTGGCACTTTTGAACTTCATTCTATCTAAATAAGCTAAAGCTAAGTTATTCAAGATCAATGCTAAACCTATAGACTCTGTGTCGCTTAAAGATAATCATACGTCGTAATACCCATGATATGCGACAATTTATTCATAAATTTCGATGGCATTATTACTATTACCTTATAAATGATATATGACTCCTTGAAGATTCATTACTTTAAATATTTACTAATGGTTTTCTCCATATCTATATAAAATTTAAATGTTTTAATATTAATACAATTTGATAAATCCCTCTTTTGATTATTCTAAATACTCTAAAGCAAAGTCATACTCTTTTTCTAGATAATAAATACAACCTAAAGTGTAATAGGTTTCAAATATCCTTGGATCTTGGTGTTCTAATCTACTTTATAATATAGAGAGTCCTTCATAACAAATCTTTTTAGCATCTTCACTATCATCTATTTTATTAATCTAATTATTACGAAGCAATGCATAGACATATGATATTTTAACCAATATTTTGGCTATATCTATTTTCCAATTCACTTATTCATAATTTATTAATGCTTTCTTATAGTAATCAAGTGATTGAATGTATTGATTATTACACAAAAAGAGATTTGCTTTTTCAATAAAAATTTTGGATTGTAAATCAAAATCATTTATTTCAAATTAATTTAAACATTTATCTAAACATCTTAATATAAATTAAAATATAATACTTTAAAGCTTCATTAATTTATCCTAATTCCTTGAAGATCTAGGATGCATAACATAATGATTAAACACATACTAATATTATTACTGATATTTATAATTTATCCATTTATTATTTTAATTTTTCATTTGCTTCTTTATAAACATCTATTATTCTCTCTAAAGCTAGTTTAAATTTTCCATCTTTAAAAAATGACATACCAATTTTTATTTTTTAACTAAGCTAATCATTCTTAACCAATTATTCAAAACTGTTAGAATTGAATTTATCAAATGAAACTTATTCATCATCAGATTATTAGCTAATTTATTCATTAAGGTGTTGATTAGGAGTTTCATTCTATGTAGGAGAAACAATTTAATTTTTAGTCATTTTAATACTTTAATTAGAAGATGTTGATGAAGCATGTTTATCATTGTTTTCTGTTGGCTCAGAACTTTAACTTACCTAAAACTTAAAGTAATTCTTACTATATCAACTGGTTAATGATATTTCGAGAATAAATCATTTTTTTTTTATTACAAAGGAGGCAATGCAAAGTTATGTTACTTTTTTATTACAATACTGACTTTAAATCCATTTTGTATCTTTTTCTATAAAAATTTTGATGCTTATTCCAATCCTTATTTTTCAACTTACAATTCTTAAAAATCCAATACCTCAAATTCTTCCATAGAAAATATTATTAATAATATTAAAAAAAAAAATAATATTCCTAATTAAAAAAACAATTCTGTAAAATTGTTAAAACTTATGTATTTTCAATATTAATTTTTAAAGTAATTAGTTTATAACTATTTTATATATATCAAGGAATATATTCTTTGTACAATTACTATAACAAATCTATAGGATCAGAAAAAGTTGAAAATTTATCCAATTTTAAATTCTAACTATTATATTGTCTAACATCTCTTACTGATTTCATAGTTATCAGATAATTCTATAAATAAAGTAATTCCTAAAACATACATTAGAATATTACTTAATCCATCTTATTATCATAATAATTAATGATGGGAATTCCATTTAAAGGTTAAAGACAAAATGAATAAGCTGCATTATCAATCAAAACCATATCAGTCATAGATCTATTTCCAATAACTCTTAAGTCTTTAATATAAGCACCTTCCTCTGTTTACATACAACTATCTCTAAAAAATCTATGAGAAATAAGATTTTTATTTGGATCCAAATAATCAATTACAACATTAGCATAGCAGGAATGTGATGCAGTAAATACAATTATTTCAAAGTGTTTGTTTAAAGTCTATAATACCTATTAAGCATAAGGTCTAATATTGATTGATGCCTAAATTTATATTTTTTTTATAATTTACTTCTATTATTTCTCCTGATGGAAATTTTATTGGCAATACTATATCACCTTATATTTGAATAGACTCATTACAATGAATTAATGTTTCATCTAAATCAAATATTATTGTTTTTCTATTCGTTGAAGGTAAATTAATCTTTTTGTCCTCAAAATTATTAGCTATTTTCACTGATTTTTAAAAAATTGAAGCTTACATCGTTTGTAAGAGATGTTCTCTTATTAATTCAATAGGTTTTGTGATTTCAATTTGCATATAGCCTTTTATGATTGATGAAATGTAATATAAAAATGAAATATCATTATTTTTCTCTTAAGAAGTTTTCCTTTTAAAATTTTCTTTAATAGTATTACTAGCCTTAGTTGATTCTGGTTTTAAATTCTTAAAATTATTTTTATTTTCAGTCAACGGAGCCTTTACTTGAGTAACAAAGGTTGATAGACTGGGTTTTTTAATGATAGTACCATCAATTTTATTATCATAATTATTATTGATAAGTGTACTTGATTTCAATTTATTTTATTATTAAGGTGTTTAATCTCTTTATTCTTTAGATTATTGATGAATTAATTGATCTTTTTAGGTTCTGTTAGTAAAATCTATTTAAACAGTTTTTTGAACTGAAGTTGAGGTTTGATTATTTTTTGTATTTTATGTAAAAAATTTAGATGCAAGATTATTTTTCGTTTATCTTTAACTATTATCAATATGAGATTTAATGGATGAAATCTTATTCTCTAAATAAAGTAATTTGTCTTATAGTTTTTAATAATCTTAAGGAGATTATTTAATTTTAGTAGATTGATTTCTATCTTGATTTGAACGTATTTCAATATTTTCTTTTTAATCCTTAGAATTAAAATATTTGGAATAAAAGTTTTGATTCTGTTTTTATAATTGTATAGAACTTTTCATTGTTTACAAAGTCTATTTTGATTATGAATTAGACTAATTAGATGAATTAGGTCTTTGTAATTCTTTACTTGATCTATGACCTAAATTCTTTTCTGAGAGAGGACGTCTAATTTCGATCATGCTCAAAAGCTGTTAAAAAATTAAAAATATTAATAGTAATAAAACCATATTTTCAAAATTCATATTGTTTCATTTATGGTTTTTTATTAGTAGAAAATCTCTTAAATGGAGATTGGAACTATGTTAATTACTTAGTTCCCATAATTAATTTAGTTTTTAATTCTTTATATTTACTAGCTCTAGACATAGCAGCCTATTCTTCTGTTAATGACATTTTGTCAAGTTCTTCCATGATCTTAATAAATTAAAATATAATAATACTTCTCTATGTTAATATTCAAATTAATCATTCATTCGTTTAACTTGATCTAATTCATGACTCAATTCTTCAGTAGTTTCAAGACATTCCATATGTAATGATTTTAAACGTTCCATTTCATTTCTCTATTCTATTATAGTCTTTTCTTAATGTTTAACCGTTTGATCTAATTAAATGACTTAAGCATTTAATTCCATGCATGTATCTGCTTCTTACTGATAATTTTTTTAATACAATAAACTTTCCTATTTAAATTTCTCCTTTTATTTATGGATTTCTTCAAGATCATTTTATAATTAAGAAATGTAATTCTATGCTTCTTAATATTACATTCTCGTATACTTTAAATTTTCATTCTTAGTTTTTAATTCATTATTAATCTAATTTAATATATTGAGTTAATATTTTACATTTTCAACATCAGCTTTGTAGATCAAACTCTATTTTTCAAGATTATCATAATCATTTTGCAATTAACTTAAAGACTTCTCTTTTTCATTTAATTTATCTAAAACATCTTCATATGTATTATTGAGTATTTCTCTATCATGTAATAATCTTATAATATATACATATATTATATACCTTTTTCTTTCATCTTTTGATGCTTACAATTCAGTTTCTAATCTAAGTTTATCTTCATATAATTTTCTATTTGCTTCTTAAATTTATGCTAAATCATTTTTGACTCTAGAATTCTCCTATTATCTATGATCTGTGATTTCTTTAAATGCCAAATTTTCTGCTCTCATTTCTTAACTTTCAATATGTTTTTCTGTTATTTAAGATTTCAAACTATCTATCTCATTTCTTAAATTTGCTATTGTTTTTAATGTTTGATCACTTCTATTTCTATATTCTACTTCATTTCTCATCTTTTCTTCATGTAATGTATTATATCTAATATTAACTACTAATTTCACCTATTTTCTAATGATTTCAAATGAGTAGCCAATTCTTAATAATCTCTTGCATTCTATCTCAATTCAAAGTTTTCTGCTTTCAATTAAGATATCATCAAATCTTTCTGATCATTTTCAAATTTTGCTGGAGAATAAAATGGTAAATTTTAAAAGTTTCTTTAAGAATATGACATACAATAATAATAATTAAAACAATCACATAATTTAGTGTATTAATAATAACATACTAATAATCTATTTTTCATTTTTGTAATATTTCCTTTTTGAGTTATCCAATTTTATTAATCACTAAATCTAATACAAGTCCTAATTCTTCTCTTTCTTTATCTCTCTTATTTTTACTACTTTAATAATCTAAGTCTTCATTTCTGCATTCAGTATCACGATCATCATTTTATGCTGATTTAGTTTCAATCTTCACATCTACTTCTGCCTTTTCATTTTTGGCACTTGTAATCTAAGAATTTAAAGATTCAATTGATCCTATTATAATAAATCTCTATATGTACCTTATAAAAATGTAAAATTTTATTATTTTAATATGATTTGATCTTCTAACATTTAAGCCAAAGCTCCAAATGCATCTTTACGTTATTATTCAGATAAATCTTCATAGATTCTTTATTTTTAAATCCAATTGTCTACTTATGATATAATTTCCAAGACTTTTCTACTCATTGATTCTTATTCAGCTGTAGGATCCTTAGATAATAGATTTACTATATGAGATATCCCATGTAATAAAAAATTGATTCCTTCTGCTTTTACATTATGTTTAATTTTATTAATTTATTATGCAATATCAACTAGAGAGATATCATCATCATCTTTTTAAGTTGCATAATTCTTATTTAAGAATTTGTCTTAATTTTCTAATTGAATGAGACTAGCAAATCTTTATTAATTTTTAATTAGAACATTAAGAAATGTATTGAACATTTTCTTAGCCTCATTTAATGCATATAAACCTTATTCTAAATTATCTAATGTTTTTTCATATCTACTTTATTCTTCTTATCTTTTTTCAGTTTAATATTCTAATTCGTTTTTAAGTTCTTTAATTTCAGTCTCAGTTCTAGCTAAATCTGTCAATTTGGCTTATTTATCAGGTTCCAATTAATCAATCTATCCCTTAAGCAATTTTGATGTACTTGTTGATTCATTAATAATATCTTCTAAGGTACTCAAATCCTTTAAAGAAATGAATTGCAACATTATACGTTTTCACATTAAGATTAATATCTCTCATGCAATCTATCATCTCTCTCTTATTCTCCTTCTAATTAAGTATTCAAATTCTATAGCATATTTATCAAATTCTATAGTGGTTCTGGCCCAGATAATTAAATCTAAACAGTGTCCAATATTGTTTATCCAAATTAACTTTATTTTAACTATTATAAATAATACAAATAATAACCTTCTCAATCTCATCATGCACATCAATATCATCATCAAATTATACACTTAGACTCACAAAAGCAAATATAATTAACAATTTATATTACATTCCAAATATATTGTTTATATTAATTAAATTTGTAAATTATGCATCCAATCATTGGACCTAAAACTATGGCTTCTCAATTATCCAAAAAGGAACTTAATGAAAAAGAAATTCCAGATAACAAAAATCCAACTCCTTACATTATTGTTAGATAAGATTCCTTGTTAAATCAACAATTAAATCCCATAGAAACTTACAGTATCTAAGATTCTCCTAATAAACCTATCCCAAACATCTATAATCGTCCTTCATTATCTAAAAAAGAAATATTCATTGATCTTTGTACTCTCACTCTTTTTATTTTCACTTTCTATGAATTTGTCTCTCAATATGATAAATTACCTTCCACAGTCGATGTCGATTTTGGATTTGATTCATCATTCAAATCAATTGATTAAGAATATTTGGCCTTAATATTATTAGGAGATACTGTTTTCTTGATTTTGCTCTCTATTTTATAATGTTTCACTCATAAATTTAAGTAATTATTTCAAATCTAAATATTTCTAGATATTTGCTTGAAATCAAATAAACTAACTCTGAATTGATATTCAGATATACACGTTATTTTATCAGTTCATACAAACTATCAACTATGGCCTTATTTATGTATGCAACTATCTCAATTTTTAAAATTATTGACAATGAATGGGAACCATATACTCTATATTTATCATCGCTTTTTTCAATACTATTTATCATATTTGGAATGATATACTACAAAAAAATGAATTACATTTCAAACAATCCATTCCTTTGAAAATTATTATTAACGGTATATACTAATATAATTAATTATTCTTAATATCTGTTTAAATTAATTTCCTCTTTTAGATTACTTTATCACTCAATAAGTAATTATTCTAATTAATAGTTATTATAATTATATTTATAAGGAAATAATCTTCATTATTATCATTTTAGTTTATAACTTTAAAAATATCAATAATTTTACTTACAAATCTCAATTTGCCACTTCACTTTTAGTTTTTCTCTTAAATTTTTTTATTCTTTTCTTCAAACCTTATTCCAATTTTTATGATAATATTAATTTAAATTAATCATTAGAAATGTTAAGAACGATAAAATCGCCTTCATACACAAAGAAATAATATCTGATTGTATATATCAGAATATAAAATATTTTATTCATAAAAGAATAAGGACAATTGTCTGAAGTTCTAAATTGCTTTTATTTTCTAATACTATCACTTCAAATTTTTAAATTAAATAGATATTATTATAACCAAATTTTCAAAATCATCTTACAGCAATAACAAAATATTTTGATCTGATAAAAAATTTTGTTTTAGTAAAATATTTGGTTTAATTTAATTTTAGTTTTGGTTTTGATGAGATTGAGAAGGAATTCTTGAAATTATTAGAAGTTGAAGAATAAAATCTATAGAATTTTTGAAAAAGATAAACCTTTGAAGAATTAAGAAAATAAATGTTTTTTATCAAATAACCTAAAAAGTCATTTTAGACTAAATATTAATAAGAGAGAGACATCTAATATGATATATATTTAAAATTATAATTAATAAAATAAATTAAGACTTAGAGAATGTATTTAAAATTTTGATCAAATAAAATTATTAAACTAATCAAAATCCATTATTGAAGTATGAATCACAAATTCTAAAAGGGAAAAGGAAATTCAATTCTTAATTGATTAAAGGTTTAGTATTCAATATTAAACAAATATAATACAAAGGAAACTTTAATTTTTTTATTTATAAAAAAGGTTTAGAAAAATATGAATTGAAGATTTAAAGACAGTTTTTTTGTTGGATGTAGTTAAATAAATATTTGAGATTTTTTTTTTATTCAATACAATTAAGATTTGAAGTTAATTTTATTATTTGAGATGAATTATATTAAATAATAAATGAGTGATATTAAAGAGAATTAAATATTGAAAATTGTGGAATAAAAAGATGAACACGGGGTATGTTATATAAGTAATGTTCCACCTTAAATGCCTATAAGTAAAATAAGAGAATTGTTATAACCATATGGTATAGAGCGAGTATATTTTAAAAGTAAAGGATCTGGAAATAATAGAAGTTACAGTGAAGGATGGGTTGAATTCAAAGATAAAAAGATTGCTAAAATGGCAGCATTGTCATTGAATGGAACAAATATTAGTAATTTCATAGAATAATGTTTTTAGTTTAAAAGAAACATAAATAATTGTCAGATTATATGTGGTCAATAAAATATTTATCAGGATTCAAATGGGACGATTTGAATGAAAATTTTAATTATGAAAGAAGACTTTCAAAGAAAAAATTAGATTTAGAAATAAATTAATCAAAGAAAGAACATGAGTTTTATTTAGAAAAAACCATAAAAAAAGTTAAATAATAATGATTATATTTATTTTATTCTTAATATTCCATTAAACCATATGTATACCAGTTTCAATATTCATGGAATATTAAAACAAAAATGATTAAGTATATATAGAAGGTGAATTGCAAAATGAATTTGATATATCTCCAATTTTGAAGAGAAGATCTTGCACTTCACCTAAAAACTTAATTAGAATAGATAATAAAAACTATTAATAGGAAGATTATGAAGTATTAAATATATAAAACTTTGATGATTAATAATATTAAGTATTTGTTGAACAAACTACTGATAAAAATAAATCAATGTAAGTAATATATATTTAATATTAGAATAACTAGATAATTTACAAATGATAATTCTACATTAATAAGTAATTAAAGTATTAAATATTTTTTGTATTAAAATTGTACAGAATATAGTAGATAAAATCCATAAGATGCATGGGATTTCATTTATGTAAATGTAATATTTAAAGATGAAAAAGATAATAATCATACATTTCCATTTTAATTTACATATTCATGTAATGAAAACTATAATTTTATAACTTTTGATTGGAGTTTGATTATATTGATATCAATAAGTATGATGTTAATGGCTTTATTGACAAGATTTTCTAGGATTATGTCATTTAATCTTAAATTATAAAGTGGAAGATTTTAAGGATTTAAGATTGATACAAAAGTTACATGTTTTTATTTTGTAATTTATAGCATTGGATTTTTTTTCTTTCTTAATTCAAATTATGTTGAAACACTAGGATTTGTAGTAAAGATATCTACATATTTAATGGGATTTTCATGTTCATTGTTTATAATTGATGAAGTATTATCTAAATAATAATAGGCCTTATGTTTATCTCCAGATGGATCATTTTGGAAAAGAAAGATATTATATAAAATAAGATTATGTGAAGTATTATCATTTATATTGGCATCTGCATTCATGACTTTATATATATTTACTAATGCATGGTATTTGAGTGATTTAATATCAATATTTATTATGTCCACAATAGCTAAACTATTCAAATTTAAGAATCTTAAGAACACTTTTTATTTTCTATTAATATGTATATTATTGGATGGAACAGCAGCAATTGTTATCTATTTTACAACTAAATAATCTTATAATTCATTAACCTTAAAAATATTAAATTGTCCAATTGAGTTATAATTACCTTTACTTCAATTATAATATGATCGGAGTTGTGCTTGGATTTCTTTATTCAGTATAGCAATACCTGCCTTATATATGGGATTTACATATAGATTTGATAAAAATAAACGCACATTTTAATATACCATATTTACTGGTATGAGTTTGATAATTGCATATATCATTTGGATAACTACAACTATAGTTTAAACTTATTCTATTCCATCTAGTATATTTATTTATCCATCTATTCTTATTGGAACATTCTTAGTGGCATCAAAAAGAAATGAAATCTAATCTATTTGGGATGCTCAGTTTTTTGATGAATTCTTGGAGAAAACATATCGATTATCCAATATTCAAGAATAATATGATAATTCTAATAATTTAAATTTATTGGATGGATTAGATCAATATCCAGATGAACAATAAACCTAAAGTAAGATTCTAAGATGATTTTATTAATTTAATTTAAATATTTATCAATTTCTTACAATCCATTCACTTTACCTATTCCTTTTAAATTTATTTTATTATCTATTTCATTTTTAAAAAACAGATTAAAATTAGTTTAAATTTATTATTCTTAGATTTGTTAATAAATGTTCTCAAATTATTCTGAGTAATTTTAAACATTTTTGATTATTTTAAATATAAAGAACATCTAATCTAAATTTCTATAATAAATTTTGACTAATCGACTAAAATAAATATTCATTAAAATTCTTATTCCTTTCCTACAAATATATAAACCTACTTGCTGAAAACCTATTAATTATTTATTATTTATCTAATACTAGTATTTGAATAACATTTCAATTTACAGGTTACCCTAACTTTTAATTTATCCATTTAAGGTCATTAAATTTTGATAGATTTAGTTTTTTTCAATGATATAAAAAATAAAAAGATTATTAGACTGATTGTATCATATTATTTTTATTTATATTATTAAATCTTAGCTAGAGGTTCTCTAAAATAAATTTTGAAGTTATTCTTACTTAATTTANCAGCAATTGTTATCTATTTTACAACTAAATAATCTTATAATTCATTAACCTTAAAAATATTAAATTGTCCAATTGAGTTATAATTACCTTTACTTCAATTATAATATGATCGGAGTTGTGCTTGGATTTCTTTATTCAGTATAGCAATACCTGCCTTATATATGGGATTTACATATAGATTTGATAAAAATAAACGCACATTTTAATATACCATATTTACTGGTATGAGTTTGATAATTGCATATATCATTTGGATAACTACAACTATAGTTTAAACTTATTCTATTCCATCTAGTATATTTATTTATCCATCTATTCTTATTGGAACATTCTTAGTGGCATCAAAAAGAAATGAAATCTAATCTATTTGGGATGCTCAGTTTTTTGATGAATTCTTGGAGAAAACATATCGATTATCCAATATTCAAGAATAATATGATAATTCTAATAATTTAAATTTATTGGATGGATTAGATCAATATCCAGATGAACAATAAACCTAAAGTAAGATTCTAAGATGATTTTATTAATTTAATTTAAATATTTATCAATTTCTTACAATCCATTCACTTTACCTATTCCTTTTAAATTTATTTTATTATCTATTTCATTTTTAAAAAACAGATTAAAATTAGTTTAAATTTATTATTCTTAGATTTGTTAATAAATGTTCTCAAATTATTCTGAGTAATTTTAAACATTTTTGATTATTTTAAATATAAAGAACATCTAATCTAAATTTCTATAATAAATTTTGACTAATCGACTAAAATAAATATTCATTAAAATTCTTATTCCTTTCCTACAAATATATAAACCTACTTGCTGAAAACCTATTAATTATTTATTATTTATCTAATACTAGTATTTGAATAACATTTCAATTTACAGGTTACCCTAACTTTTAATTTATCCATTTAAGGTCATTAAATTTTGATAGATTTAGTTTTTTTCAATGATATAAAAAATAAAAAGATTATTAGACTGATTGTATCATATTATTTTTATTTATATTATTAAATCTTAGCTAGAGGTTCTCTAAAATAAATTTTGAAGTTATTCTTACTTAATTTATAAAAATCTTAACATATCCTACTAATAAAACATTCATATTTTAAATTATGACTTAGAATATAACGATCAATGTTATTGTAAAGCTAAATCTTCACTTTGATTTTTAGATTTTCCTACAAAATAGATTCTAATTTTATCTACATCTTTCAACTTTACATACATTCTGTAATAATATAAATTTTTTTGAATATTTGCTTATTAAGGTATAAATGAATAAAGGGTTTTATAAAAAAAAACAAGGTTCCTATTTTAAACTTCCATATTTATTAAGTTAAAGCTAAATATAGTTTGAATCTATTATTGGTAATGCTGCTATTTTAATGTAACAAATTATTTTCAGCTATTAGAATATCCTTTAATTCAATTTTATCAAAATTAATTTATTTTCCATTTCTTATAATATAGAAACTATGCTTTAATTAAAGAATTAAGTTTACATAATTCCTTTATTTAAACTATTTTTTCATTAAAATTGTAGATTTTATTCAATTTAATAATTATATTAATCTAATTAACAAATGAATTTCAATCATATTGATAATTAATGATTGTTTTCATAAAACCCAAAGAATCTAAATACAATAAAATACACTTCTAATCTAAATTATTTATAACTGATTAGTTATTAAACATATTTTATTTATTATTTAATTTTAATAACTATGAGCTTCTTAGATCATTTCAAAGGAAGAACCTAAAGAGTTCCCAGAGAAGGCTATCTCAATTTATTTGGTTTAGAATCCAATAGAGTCATCTAAAAACCCTAAATCTCAAAATTTAAACTCAATCAATCTCTTTAAAAAATTCAACAATAAGAAACCTAATTGTAAAGTGAAATTATGGAAATTGATGAATATTAGTTATAAAGATATTCCAAAATCCCTACAGAAATTACTACTCCTAGATCTTTTAGCTCAAAAAAAAATCTTATTGCCATCAGAACTGCAAAATTTATCTTAAAATACTGAATTATGATGTATATTTCATATCTTTCTAATTTTTTAATTAATGATTATAGTATCTAAATTAAATAAATTTCTAAAATCTTTCATTCTTTTCAAAATTTTTTGCATTTTAGCTTTTCCTTCATCCATAATGTAAGCTATTTGTTTAATCAATTCATATACAAATAACAATTTTGACAAAGTATGTGTCATAGAAAAATTTTATTACCATTTATCAATAGCTTGGAGATTCACAGTTTCAGAAATGGAAATATCTTGCAATATTTTATTTTAGCTTAATACCAATTTAAGTCTTAGTAAGCTTGACTAATTAAATACTAGATTGGTAATCAATTAAGATAAACAAAAGAGAAATGAAAAAACATATTTAAAATTGAAATTAGTTAAAAATGATTTGAGTATTTTTTTTTTTGTATTTTTCATTTGCAATTAACAATCTGAATTTGTAATAATTTAATTTAAATAATTTGTGATAAGTAAGAAATATCGTTTAGAATTTGAATTAAGATGTAATTTAAAGAAGGGCTATTGAAGCTTTTACTTGAAGAGAGATGAATGGTGAAATGTAAAGTAAGTTGGATAATCAGCTCTACTATTTAGTGTGTTATAAATTTACTAGCTTTTTGTTTGATTAAGAAAATTAGATTGATAAATAAAAAAAAAAAGTTGATTAGGTAGTAAAGGGGATTCGAATTTTAAAATGAGATTTGAGGAATGGATTGGGGAATGAGAAAATAGATAAATAATATATTGAAGAATATATTTAGGATTTTATATAAATATATTGAGGTATAAATAATATATTTAATTTTGAAATTCAAATTCAAAAAAATATTATTTAATTAATAAAATGTATAGAAGTTAGAGATTGAGAATGAAATCATAAAATCATTTGTCAATTTCCCCTCCAATAATAAAGAGAAGATTAAGAAACAAGAATGAATATATAGAGATGAATGAAATCGAACCAACTGATAAAAAAAAATAGAACACTTTATAGGACATAGCAGCAACAAAATAAAAGAGTTTAACTAATTTTGCTTTAACAGTTACACCAAAATATGGATAAGATAGAGATTATGATGATGATGATGATATTCTATTTCATGTAATAAATTTGAGTATGAAATTAGTCTAAAGGAAAAAAGAGACCATGGTCTGAATAGGAAGACAATTTATTGATTAAATTAGTTTAAATGCATGGTCCTTAGAAATGGACATTCATTGCTGAACATTTACCAGGAAGAATAGGTAAATAATGTAGAGAGAGATGGCATAATCATTTGAATCCTTAGATAAAGAAATCTCATTGGGGAGATTATGAAGAATGGATTCTATTTCTATCACATAGAGTTATGGGAAATAGATGGGCTGAAATGGCAAAATAATTAATGGGAAGAACAGATAATTCTATAAAAAATCATTGGAATTCAGCTATGAAAAAACGTATACCTGAAATGGAGGAGAGATTAAAAGATATTCGTAAAAGAGGAGGTATAATATAGTATATTTATTCTTTAGGAATGTAAAATTCTGAACTCATGAATTCATTTACTTCTTTAGAAAGATAACTACTTTAAAAATTGTTCTCTTCATAATAAAATGGACAAATGTCTCCAAGATCTTATTCCCCTAACAATATTCCAAGACGAAGAACTAATAAATAATAAAATTATTTAAATCCAAATTCAGTAAATTCATACATTTAGAAAATGATGAATGAAATTAAAATAGACGGAATTGAGAGTTATTCAATGGAAAATAAAATGTTAAAGAAAACTGCTAAAATAGCTGACTCCATTTTTTGGAATGAAGATAAAGTAGATGATATATAAAACAATTTATATGAATACATTTAAGAAAAAGTTGGTGCACATGGATATGATTAAGATGAAAAGGTGGATAGATGGATAAAAAACTTTTGGATTATGTGTCAAGACGTTTTTACTGTTTCTGTTATCAAAGACTTTTTATCATAAAGACCTTCATTTTATTATAATTATTTGCATAAATATAAATAGGATAGTGCTACTTAAGTTTCAAAGAATTTGAGTAGAATTTATGAGCAAACTAATAATAGTGATGAATATTAATTGCCTTCACTTAATTAATTTAAAACTCCTTTGAAGGAAAAGCCTGAACCTAATCAAAATAATACAAACAATTCTAATAATAATAATAATAATAATAATAATAATAACAACAATCATAATAATAATAATGATACGAACAGTCCGAGTAATATTTGTTTAGAAGTTAAATATGATGATCAATTTTAACATTAAATTGAATCTCCTTCAAAATTATTAAATTTACTTACTCCAAAACATTAAAATATATAATAATCTAATAAAAAAACTCCTAATTTGTTATCTGAAAACAAAAGCATTGTTCAGCATTCTTAATTTAAAGATAATATGAGTTTAAGTAAGCTGAAATTTGATACTACTCCTCTAAAAAAGAACTCAGCCTTTAAATTCTATAATAAATTTAATTAGTAATAGTAGCTTTGAAAATTATTTAATTTATTTTTTTTTATTAAAAGAATTTCATGAAGTTTAGGGTTTGTTATTTAATAATCATTATTTAGTTTAAATTCATTTAACAGTACCAAAATATCTATCTCAAAAATCACTTAATCTAAAAGTTAATATGTTGATATGTCTTAATAATATTGGATCAACTTCATTTTTGGATTTTTAAATTTAAAATAAGAAATAAAATATAAACAATAAATATCGTATCTCTAATTACTGATAAATGTATTCTGTATAGTTTCTTTCTATGAAAGATAAATTCAAAGGTTTATTTTACAATTTTGATAAATCAAGATCATTGGTAAAAGATTAATGGAGGTAATTGATTATTTTAATTCTGTTAATTTGATTCAATATAAACTTTTATCCTATTATTTTTATAAATTATTTAAAAAAATAAAATTCTTTATATAAATATAATCAAAATTAATTTAATAAAATTAAAGATGACTAATTATATAATAAGGGATTATTAGATTGTCTACAAAAAGATAGATGAATACATATTTGATTAATTCATTCAATCTTTTTCATCATAGCACAAAACTCTTCTAATGAAATTTAACCATCTTAGTTTTAATCCACTTCTTGTACTACTTATTTCCACATTTCCTCTGATATTCCACCAAATATCTATTTAAGTTCGTCTAAACTTATAGAACCACTTTTGTCCTATTTTAATTATTATATTAATTACAGCATCAAACATTCTAAAAGTTAATTACAATCTTTATTTAGATAAAAGTTATTACCTATCAATAGTCGCCATAACAAATTCTATGGAATATGTAAATAATTATAATACCAGTGTAATCAATCATTCCTGAATTATTTTTATCAACTTAAGCAAATACTTTTTCTACTTCTTCTAATGCTTAATCTGCAGTCATAATCTTCTGATATCCAATCAATAATTCTTATTTACTTAATTTTCCATCATTATTAGTATCCAAAGATTAAAATGTCCTTAATAATTCTTACTTTTCTTCTTTGGTTGCCAATTAATTAACAATATATTTAAAACACGCCTCTTACAATTTTTAGTGTTACTAAATTTATATTTAAAATTTACTCTAAAATTTTTCATATTTGTTAAGACTTTCTTCATCAATGGTTATTCAACTTCAGCAGCATTTGTAAATTTCTTAATCCAAGGATCTTATAATGCTTATTAAGCACTGTATCTCTTAGTCGGATCATATTACAACAATTTCTTTATAAATTCTTTAGCCTCTTTACTAACATCTTCCCATTCTATTGATTCAAGTGAATAAATCCCTTTTTTTACTTTCTCCATAATCTTTTCTTCAGTTTTACCATCAAATGGTGGGAACCTAATCTACTTAATACTATTTACCCACATAAAAGTATATACAATATTACACCACATGACCAAATATCACATTTTTCATCATATTTTCTACTTAATACTTCAGGTGCTATATAATAAGGAGTTCCTAATTTCTGATTCAATTTTTAATTAACATCAAATTCTCTAGAGGTTCCAAAATCTATAATTTTTAATAATGAATTTTCTTTTTCAGATTCATATAATAAATTTTCTGGTTTTAAATCTCTTATTTTTGAATGTATAATAATTACCTATGTACAATTTTTTCTTGATGACAATAGTTTACAGCAGAAAGAATTTATTTCAAAATTTCTGCTGCTTTTTTTTCTGAAAAACTACCTTCATATCTGATTTTTTCAAATAACTCTCCTCCAGTACATAGTTCCGTAACAATATAAAAAAATCTATCATCCTAATAGAATTCATAAATTTTTATTATGTTTGGATGATCCTTAAAAGTAATATTATAATGGTTTTACAAGTTTTTAAAGAATTTGCACTTCATTCATTAATCTCTCTTACTCTTCTTTTGTAGTTTATGATTTATGTATAATTTTTACTGCTCTCATTATACCTGTTTATTTGTGTATTCCTTTTCTCACTTCTCCATATGCTCCTATTTTAATAATTAAAGTGTTTATACCGCTTCCAAGGGGAGGATTAAGTAAAGTATAATCTCTTGTTATTCTCCCCATTTTGGCACTTGTGATAACAAGACCTCCGGTATCACCTTATACTTGAAAATTTAACAAATAAAATACTGTCTTGTTTCTATTAATGATTCGATTATAAGTTTTCAGGTTTCTATTATTCTTCTTTTGTTGAATTAGATTTTTTATTTTCAGTTGGTTTCTCTTGGTTTTTTTGACTTTGACTAGAACATATACCCATATTTATAATTAATATTATTTGTAACAGGAAAACAATAATTTTGAATATCATATAATAATATAGACTTAAAATGATAAGAAAACAATTGATTGATAAAACCAATTTGTAATTACGATATTGTTTTATCTATTCCATTTTTTAACTTAATGTGTTTAGATTAAAATCACTCAAATTCTGAATATGCTTTATAGGATCCAGGGCCAGGACTTTTAGCTCCTAAATCGAATGGTCCTTTTCTTATTGCTTTTGGGAAAGAATTTTACACTGAAGATTTAAATCCATTTTTAGGACAGAATCCTGTTCCAGTAATTCCTGTATTCGAGATATCATAGCTAGCAGGTTCAGGAAAATTAATTTAAGCTATAATTAAATAATTTATAAACTTTATAAGGTTTTAAATCTGTCTTAATCTTTGCCTATGATGGCAGCACCAGAACTTCTGAATTTAGAGATAAATTAGTTTCCTCTTTAATTAGTAATTTATATTGCTTCATAAGCTCCAGGTCCTAAGAATAATTTTTATTTTTAAAACCAGGGGTGGTAAATTATTTTAAAGATCCTGATTTAAGTCCAATAGTAAATTTTGAATCAATAAGTGAATTTGTTGATTCATATCTAGCAGGACCAGGAGAAATTTAATTCAAAGAACCCCACATTCCATGCGCTTTCATTTATTCTCTACTATAAGCAAAAGTAGGTCCTTTTTTTTTGTCGAGATTATTTTCAACAAACGATTAAATATCATAAAGATTAGGACCTGGTACTGGTTTTGCATCTTTTGAAAAATCATGTCTAAATATTTAAAGTAAATGTACTTGAGTCCATATCCAATTCCAGCCTATCTAGTACCTAAGGATTAAGGCAATTTGTAACTTAATTCATTAGTTCTAATTAATGTTAGAAAAATTAATACGCAGATTTATTTTAAATAGGTTGTCTTTAGGCTTTTGGAAACGTGTACTTTTATTTTGATAAAGATGTGTTTAGACTTGAGTCATGAGTAGCTAAATACTGATTCATTATGTAATTTTATATAATATATATATATTTTTAATATATATATTTCATTCTTAAGATTCAGAGAATTTATCCAATATGTCTATGGTATGCGAATCAAGTTTTGAAAGATACTTTTTGTTATTATTGGCTTCTAAGATATCAATATTTATATTACTTGAATAATTTGAATATTTAGAGTAGAGTTCTTTGGCTCTCTATTCACATTTAAGTACTTCATGGTCTTTCCATGGAAATCGTCTATAACTTTTAATTTTCTATTTAAGTAAAAACAAATTTTACTCCAAAATCTCTTGTAATTATTATTTTTATAATCTGTTTAGTCATATTATCGATTTTTTCATCATTTTCATGAATGCAAATTTCTTTAAATTAAGCTAAGAATATATTAAATTTATGAATACATAGAAACTTTGTATAGAAATTGGAGAATCTTTGTGATGCAAATAATTTTCTTAGATATGTTTCATTCATAGTTTTCATTTTAGAATCCTTTCTAAATGGAATCATGTCATCAATTGATTCTTAATTGAAAGTTTTCATAAATTCTTTGTCATTAGAAAAGAAAGAATGGTAAAATAATCTATCTCTTTCTTCAGCAGACACTCCTTCTTTTTCTTCATATTCAATTTAGCTTTTTATAAAGAGAAAACATCTTCTAATTATAAACTTTGTCATTTCCTCTTTTGTTTTATTAACTTAAACATAGCGCTTTTTGATCATGTTAGGTATGTCTTTGGAAAATGATGAAAGTGTCTAATGTATAATAACTTAATATACTTTTAAATTTTCCTTTACAAATTCTTCAAACATACAATCTTGTAGTAAAGAAATATGTTTAGAGAGATATTTTAACAGAGAAGTCAATTCTTTTTCTGCTATAATCTCCATATTATTAGTTAAGGCATCTTATTCTATAGGTTCTGGAAACTAACAAGCTTAATCACAAGTTTCTTTCATTTGAATAGGCATTTAATACGCTGGTGTTGGTAGCATATAAAATTATTAAAGGTTGAGTTGGGAATAATTCATATAAGGTGTTGCACACATTAAAGGAAGCATGAGATGATTTAAAAAATTAGATGTTAAAATAAAATATCTTTTGTCTTCATTTACATATTCATTAAAATACTAAAGTTTTTTATAATTGATATTAATATATTGTCATAATTCTGTTGAAGCTACATATTAATATTTATATGATAGAGGAGGCATAGGAACTTGAACAAATCTACCTTCAGGGGATTTCTCATAAAAATTACCTCTTATTAATCATATCATATTTACCATATCCTTTCACTTCTTTTTTTATAAATTCTTTATCACGTTTCAAAAAACATCTATCCATACTATAAAAACTTCCATATTCTTTTCCATAACATGTATTAGACAGAGATTTTCTGCTTTGTCTTATTGTTTTTTTTGCAATGCTTTCTTCTAAACTTTATTTCTCAGGTATAAATTATGGTTTCCCTGTTTTCTTTCCTTATTTTTTTATAGGAGGAGGAACATAATTCTAAGGTAATGGAGGTGGTATATATTTTGGTTTTGGAGGCTGAATCTTAAATATATTATACTAAGGGAGGATCATCAGCGATTGGTTTTACTCCAATCTTTTAAGCAATCTTTGGAAATACTCCTTATACTTCCCATGTTAATTGAAATGCTCCCTTTCTATTGTGTTACTCTAAATCATTCAATCTTTAATATACCTGGAAAAATTCGTTTTGAGCTTATTATTTCTTTTTTTGAAGGTACTCCATGTGCAATCTATTATTCAATATATTTATATATACAATTGTTTCAGCAGTTGCCATTTTAATATATTTTATTATAATAATTATTATTATCAATAAATTAGAAAAGTCTATTCTTATTGATTAATCAATTATTCAAAGAGTA